CCGTACAGGCCTGATTTTTTTCAGGTCTGATTTTCGCTATTGCATAAATAGCGCTCTCTACTGCGAGGATCGTGCATCATACGTATCTAATACCGCAGTTCAAAATATATGAACTTCATATATTCATTGTATCTGATTTATCATCACGGGTTTATTACGAATCAACTTAACGGCCTGCTCCCAGTTGGCTTGTTAGCTCAATTGGTAGAGCGCTGCACTAGTATCGCAGAGGTCAGTGGTTCGAATTCCGTACAGGCCTGATTTTTTTCAGGTCTGATTTTCGCTATTGCATAAATAGCGCTCTCTACTGCGAGGATCGTGCATCATACGTATCTAATACCGCAGTTCAAAATATATGACCTTCATATATTCATTGTATCTGATACTATCGTTCGTTATTTGAATTTTCTTTGCTTGATTTTCATTAACTCACTTCAAAACACCAAATTGTCTGAAAGGAAAAATCACTATTTTCTTTCTTTTCGACTGATTGGAGCCCATTTCATTTGATTAGATATCCAATAATGAATATTTTAAATAAACATCTCGTCTGGTTCTTTTTACATAATAAAGAAACATCCGTCTGCTCAAAACGTTAGCGTAACTAATTTTAGTTTTTCAGATTCATGCACGATATTTTTTGTTTCACGTAGTTGAATTACCCAAAGATCCTCGTGTCTTTCAAACCAGCGACGAAGGACCTAAGGCCTGGTCGCAAAGCGCTTTACTTTGGTTACCAGGGAGACTAGAGCCGGAAAGCAAAATGGCGGATAGCGTTCAGGTCGAAGAGCCACAGCGCAGAGCTGTTGGAGGAATTATAACGACAGGAAGGATTCATAAAGGTAAATATTTAGATCATATACAGACTATTGATCGATCAATGATTCTCGAACGAAAATTAAAGCTATTCGCGTTCGAATGTTTCATAGAAATGTGAAGAATATTTTGCATGTTCGATCAGATGATCCATACAAAGTCATGTAAATTTTGCTTACTTTGGACAATGCTTGACGAAGCCGGAGTTTCTTTGATTTTCCCTTGGTTGGTTAAGGATAAAGGGAAAGAGGCCAACGCGTACAAGTACATTAGAAGTGTTTCACTAGAACATTTGAAGAGTAGTTCAACTTCACAAACGCGTCAACTGCAACGACTCATGTAAACATTGGCAATTTTTCAAAGCTGTTGTTTGTTCCCCTTTTTGGAGCCATACACGCATGTAATGATATATCTTTTTAAAACTCAACAGGTCATGGAAAAACAGCTGCGTCAGCCTCTATCCCCAGCAAATATCAGACAATCGTGAGTGATAATTCGGAAAAGAAAGGATTCCTTTCCAGATCCAAACGCTTTGAAGAGTATGATGTGGTAAGTACGTTCATCTTTTCCAAAATAAGAACTGCCGTGCTTTTAAACTTCTGCTTGCAATATAAGTATCTAATTTAATATACCTGTAGTTTTAACTATGGGTACTTGAATATTTTCACATACAAGTATGTTCACAGTTCAGCGTGATGTTGATCTGAATAGTTGATCGTCTTTATGTAGTCATTTAGACAGTATTTGTACGTTCTTGTCAACACAGTTGTACAATTATGTGGAGAGATGGGATAAGTGTTCTTTTGGCGCTGGAAAATTTGAGTGAGATTTTGATAACAGGGACTGTATTATACCAATTAGGATTAGAAAAAGATCAGTTTACTCAAAATGTGAAAAAAACTGGTTGACAGTTTCTATTTTACTCCTAACCAAGTTGGGAGTAAAATCTTCAAATTGGGGCTATGAATGTGAGAGCTTTTGGAACTGTCTTTTTTGAAATTAAGTATGTTTCTAATAGCTCAGTTTTGGCTAAGAAAAAAAGTTCAGGAAGTCAATATGTTGTATTAAAAGTGTAATTGGGTATAAAATTTGAAATGTTAGGTTAATTGATGTATCACGACATTTGCTTTTATTACTAGATGCTAAGATTACCCCTTCATCTCTTTGTGTGACCCTTATCCCTTCCATCAAGATCAAAATACATGATTCTCTGCACTGCCTACCCAACATTTTTTGTAATTTTCATATGACAAAAAAATTTATTTTAGTTCATATTTTTCCATATTCTCATCACCTGCTTGCTTGAAAATGTATTGTAACTGTAGAGAAAAATTCCTTTTTTGTTATTATTGGGAGTGATTGGGTTATCTGGCCTGGAATTATTTTAAAAATTAATGTGACCTTTTATAGACAAAGATGGAAACAGGTGTACTTCAGAACACCTAAGGCTTATAGCCATCCTTGACACTTTGCAAGCTGCTATGTTTGTAATTTGGTGTTAAATTTAAAAGACTTTATCATATTAAACACACATCAGGTACAAATGTAATGGTACCACTTGACTCTGAGTTGAATTTAATGCAAGAATTTTCAATTTAGCTGCAATTAAGTCATCTAAAGTGTATAAACATGTGCACATAAAAGCACTTTGTATTTTACTTGGACAAGAACACTTTTCAGAACTTCCCAAGGTAACTTTCTAATTTATCTGACACAAGGTAAAAGAAAGACAAAGAGAGAGAGAGAGAGAGAGAGAGAGAGAGGGAGGCAAATACAATGAGCTGAAATACTTGATGATAGATACAATTTGCTATCTAAAATTATTTTTATGCAGAGTGTAAATCCAGGCCCAGGGACTTATGGAGAACTAAAATCAAGCGAAACTAGGAGCACTTCCTTCTCAAAGAAAGGATTTGGTGGTTTTGTTTCCAAGGTAAGTGCAATACCATTAAAGGAAAGTGTTGTTGAAAATATTTTCTTCAGAACAATTGTACAATGATGATTATAAAGGCATGAGTACAGTTCTTGTATTCATACAAGTATGTTTTGTGTATTTTGTAAGCAAAGTGCTTTGTGATCTCTTTACCAAGATTTTTTTCTCCTGTTATACCAAATGCAGACGTGTCAATTATCAGATATGTGATTAGGGCTTGTTGTATTTTATCTCAGGCAAAGCGTTTTCCAAGAGGGGCTCAGAATACAGGACCAGGCCCAGGTAAAAATTTTTCAGAGAAACTGATGATCATAGTGACATATTGACTTCCACCATCATTTTTATTATTAAAGTGTGATTTGGCAATATGTTTTCTCCAACCTTACAAAGTTGATGCAAACACTTCAACTCCCAGAAGTGATTAAGATGTAACTTCTCCCAATAATATCCATACATTATCCAGCAAACAGTTCTTGAGATTTTTCAAACTTATGAAGGAAGAAGTTGTTATCTTGATCTAACTCAAAATTCTCTCAATTAACAATTGGTTCATGCTTTAGTGTGCACTATCGAGTTATGGAGCACGCAGGAAGTTTGGAGAGCATGAAAGAAGCGTAAGAGTTGCCGGAGGCAATAGCCTAGGGCAACTCTAGCTTCTTGAGTGCCCTCCAAACTTCCCATTAATTTGCTCCATAACTCGATAGTGCACAGCTGAAAGCATGAACCAATTGTTTTAGAACATAGCTGGTGGAATTGTGCATCAAATCCGACGTGAAAAACGGACAACAACATCAATTGAAGCGAATCATGATGGCGCTGATGCCGAGTCTCCTTTTCCGTTGTTTTTCTCTTTTTTTACCTCATTTAAGAACTCTAGTCCAAGGGAAAAGGTCGAAAAATTGTCTTTGTTTTGGTACTAGTAGGCCGAGTCTCTGTTTGTATCCATTATTGTCACAAAATATATTATTTTTCCCTGCACTAACAATGGCCGCTCAGGCAAAAAAAAAAAATTTCTGGTGAAGCGATTTGCTTATGCTATCAGCGTGCAGTATCGGGATTTTGAGCACGCTTACGTATACTGAATTTGATTGCGCGGCTCTGCTAGCTATGTTCTAATAACTAATTTGAAAGGAAATGACTTATGAGTAGCAGATAGAGGGTAGAATTAATAACAAGATCTGAAGACTAAAAGGTTCAATAAAAATTATGACACGTGTACCTGTCTGCTCTCTGTCAGGTTTTTATTATCCTTCAGTACCAAGGGAAAACAATTTCAACAAATCTCCTGTTACAAGGTATATACATAACTCTTTGTACTGAAGATTAAATAACTCACTGTGAATTATCGCTGTTATACAAACTACAATTATATTATGTAAAATAAAAGAGGTGATCTACAACAGTTCGTCAGTTGAATTCAATTTCCACATTAACTGTTTTGAATCACTTGGACGTCAGTTAATAACATGTCAAAAATAAATCTATTACTCTCCATTTACCATAGCATTGGTTTAATATCTTTCCTTGCTCTTGTTATAGGAATTTTCATCTCCCTATTGCCCTTGAAAGAGAAAACAAAAAAGGATTCCCAGCACCAAATCAGTACTCGGTAACATATTTCATCCTTCTGTTTAACCATGTCACTCCCAGAAGTGTCTAATGATTGTGTAACTTCTTGTAATTTCAATCAGTTATCTTGTAAACAGGTTATAAGAACAGAGAAGCTTATCAACTAAAGGGAGTTACTTTGGAATAAGACCAAATTCTCCTGTCTGAGTTACAATAAAAAGTGTAGCAGTAAGTAGAGAGAATTACGAAGTGGATCTTGAGGCCATGTTAAAACATCAATACTTTTGGAAGTGGATTCTATTCTTGGATCAGTTGATGACTCCCACCAGGATTGTCAAAATGTCACTTAAAAACAAATTCCGTCATT